ATTGTTCATCATCAGGGTGAACTGTTAATTTATTGCACAATTTTGCATTACGTGTGCAAAAAACAAAAAACAAATACAAAAAAAAAAAAAAAAAAAAAGTTTGTATCTTAATTCTTTCGTTGTGATAATTTGCATAGTTATCTTACAGTTCTTTTTTGATTATTTTTAATATTCAAGCATTTCAAACTAATGCAACGCCATAAGAAAAGTTTCGTTCTCGCTTCCATTCCTCGCGAAGACTTCAGTGAAAATTTTTCCCGTTTCTTTCTCTGTCAGAAAGCTCCTGAGACTTTAGTTCCCCAATTGTTCTTCAAGAAAAAGTTTCTTAGACCTTTGTTCCCGTTGTTTTCTTTGCCAGAACATTCCGGTGACTATAGTTCTCTTAGAAATGTTCCAGAAAGTATTGTTGGAATTTTGTTCTCTTTAGGAATGTTCAACAGAATTTTGTTCTTATATAATTCTTTTTGAGGACATTCTCGACATTTTTGTTCTCACTTGCCTTCTTATGAAGACACTCTTTAAGCGTTCTTGGGAACAACACTACGAGAATGACGTTCAGTTTCAATCACAACGGTCATGTACGATATGTATGTATATGTATGAGTAGCATTATTTTCTGCTTCTATTTTATACAAAACTGATTGAACATTTCATTTATCAATCGATTACCTTAAACATTTAAATAGCTTGGGAAAATTACCTGATCTGACAAAACGGTATACAGATTTATAATCTAAAAGCCGAAATTAAGTTTGCGTGCCTCTGCGTTTATTTGTGTAATTTCAAAACTCAAGATTTTCCCTACAGTATTATTAGCGAAAAAGTTTCAACCACCAAACCGCTATGACTCTCGCTGCTTTTTCTGGTCATCAACCTGTTACCACACTGCTTTCTTCTGCCATCGATCCGTGGAAATCGTTAGAAAATATGGATCTGCGTAGTTACATATTCGTAGCTGTGCTGCGTCAAATATAAAAATGGTATGCTAGAATCCGTTCGTACCTATCCACCGCTTTGCCAACCAAAGGCAGGAAATAAGATGTTCTTAATCGGTTGTTTTAACAGAAATAAATGAGCAAAAATCATCGCAAGTCAAGTATGAATTTTGAAATCAGCCTTTATTAGCCGTATGTAAGGAAGTATAATGGAATCGGTTGCCGCTTGTAAGAAAAACGAGAAATTTCGTGGGCTTCATGTCCTGGACACCTTGCAGCCCTGCATTTTATTCCACGCCTTCTGTGCCTTCCGGGTCATGGATAGGTCGAGTTCACGTTTAATCGCTTGGTGGGAAATTGGCACCTCCTCTATCAGCTTGTTTTCCGACAAATCTCCCACTTTCGACAAGCCCGTCGGTCTACTCGTTGCCCGCGACGCCGTTTTGCTATGGTGCCCAGTAAAGATGTACGCCACTTTTGGTATGTAGCAAATCCAGAGCTGTCCTGTACTCTGTCACACTTCTGGAGGATAATAGAAAGAAGAAACTTCACTTCGGCCGTGAGTGGGATCCACACACACACGCTTTCTTTTTTTCCTTACTAACCTTCATCGCATTTAAATCTGCATTCGATTTCCTATCTACAACAACGTACTTACTTACAATTCAGCAAGTTTATATGGGTTTTCTTTGTACGAAAGTTTAGAGATATTAAAGGTTTAATCTAAATTTTGTTAATTCCTCATTCAAGAGTTTATATAATTTAAAATTCGTTCCACTCTTATCAGATTTCAATGTGTATGATTGTATAACCTATAAACCCGAGACAGACGGGCATGCTTATGCAGATAAACTAGCACACAAATGCGCATAATAGTTTTTCCCTGACAGATGGCAGTATTGCGGATTAACGAGCCGCAAGGTCGTGGGTTCGAGTCCTAGCCGGCCAGTAGAATATTCATTTATTTCGTTTTTATTCTTTTTTATAAGTTCCATATTTTTTAACGTTGCTTTCAGTTAGTTGTTGTTCACTTTTTAATTAAATTTATCTCTAAAAATTTAAATTTACTAATAGTAAAATAAAAAGTAAAAAAAACTTAAAAACAAAAATAAAGTAAAATTAAATATATAAATTAAATAAAATAAAAAATAAAATAAGTAAAAAAAATATAAAATCTTTTCGCAATCGCTCCAACCGGGGATCGAACCTGGCAGCTACAGGCTTGTAGCACGCAACTCTCACCACTCGGCAACCGCGGATGCCGAACTCGCCTACTTTGTTTGCTTACTTGTACAAAAGAAAACAGCTGGCCGTTTTTAGCCAGTGTTGTCATCAAAAATTCCCCGGTTCCGGGTTAATTCCCAAAAATTGCGTGCATTTGTTCGGCTGCTTATGCGCATTTTAAAGAGGAAAATGCATGACTTAAACCAAAAATTTAGGCTGTTTACGCAACCGTATTAGCCCTCAATATTGTATTTCGTTTGTTGAAATGAAGAATTGTAAGATTTCAACGACCCAGATGCCACACAATAAATACTTTCTTGCAAGTCGTTCGACACATTCGAAAAGCAGACGCAAAGCTGTCATTAAATGGAATGAGTTGCTTAAAGTTTGTGCTTACTTTTACTGCACTTTGCCCTTAGCACATAAAAATGGCGAATGCTTACTATGTATGTATGTATGAGGGCGTTTATAAAACGCGAAAAAGGTGTATTTGAAAAAGTATAAGGCCGCCTCTATCTTAATGTGCAAAACCGCAAAATTTTATTCGTTTTCCTTCAACTACAAAGAAAACGTTGCTTCCTTAAATTGACTTTCTTCACTCAACTACAATCTTTATTTTCAGTTTCTATGAAAAGGATGATTTCCTAATCGCACTATTAGACGCTGGCGTTAATAGGGTAAGTCAAAAGTTACGAGCAGATACATAGATGTCAATGGGTAAGCCAGCTAGTAAATTAACATTGAATGCCATCGAAAGCACTTTTAATACTAGCTCCAAGATATTGGCCCGTAGTTTTAAACGAAATAAAGTCGACTCTAAAGTTAGTTGCAGCTTTCGAGACAGTTACTTCATTATGACAAAAAGCTGAAATTAACTTAAGAGTCGACTTTGTTTTGACTATAACTACTAGCCATTGACTTCAAATGTATGTGCGTATACATACATATGTACATCAATGTAATTAACTATTTTCTCTTACATTTTCGCTCTTCTTTTATGTTTCTTTGTGTTTTTTGAAAACTCTTCCACCACCCGCTGGGCTTTCGAATGTCACTTTTACCACGGAATTCAATTTACATTACCACATATCCGCACAAAAACTATTACTCACCATCGTTGTGGATGCGGTTTTGCACAAACAGTGCGTTCCCGAGACCACAAATCTTTCAATGTGCAGCATAGAGCTAAAGCAAGTCCTGCACTCAATTGTGCGGCCACACAACGTCATGTCAACCCAGCAAGTAAGTATGTAGCAATGAAGGTCACGAGAATTTCTAATGAAGTGGAAATAAATGAATGCAAAACATTTAGAAACGATTTCCATCTAAACTTTAAACCATAAATGGCAATTATTATTCAAATGAAATATGAAAATTATTAGAAATTAAAAATAATAACTAACTTTGATCATTCACATTTTTTCTTATCAACAGGCCCTCTACACTGCGCTGCATCGACTTAAGGAAGTCATCCTCATCACAGACAACCACCTCCGCATACAATATGCCAATCGGGCAGCCGAACGTTTGCTCAACATGCGTCTGGTAGATATATATATGTATATAGAAATCAACATATTTCACATAAATATGCCATTTGTCAACAGCAGTTAGGTTTTCCTTTTTGAAGAAAAGCTTTCTTAACGGCGACAGTGAACTGAAAAATAATCAAAAAAAATGTGAAACTTTGTATTCAACAAGAGTTGATCTCTCTTCCTTCTTCCCTATATAAATCGGCGCCATATTGATATTGAGGATAAAGGTTAAGGTTAAGACTAACAGGGCAATTTTGGTTTAGATAGCTGCAAGTCTTTTGTAAGACAATATATGTAGTTTGAAATACTTTCTTTATTCTGGCACGAAGGTCTTACATAAAAAGCTCCCTTCCAAACTATTATAATGAAAATCTCTTTGGACAAAAAGCACTTGAGCATTTTCCAAATAAAGATGTGATCATTTTGCTCGCGCGGCTCCAGCGGTCACAATGGGCGAAAGAGCAAAGCACTGACGTACTATTCGGATGATCCGAGGTTCGAATCCTAGGGCTTTTTACATGCTTTTATTAGGTTTCACACCTGTGTGCAGTAAAATCTACCAACTTCTAACTTGGCTCAAAACCCGATGACAATGCAAAATTAATTAATCCGGTTGAGGGCGCAGGTGTTCAGATATTTGAAAAAGTCTATTTAGGGTCCGATTTTTACTTAAATGAAACGGAGCAACTCCACGATAAAAAAATGTTTAGCCGTTAAGTAGTGCAGGGGTAAATTTTTATTTTTTTATTAATTACTAATAAAAGCTTGTCTTAAATCTTTTTTCTTCCCCTGTCTTTATATTAATTTTCTTTTCATTTTAAGATGTTATTGTTGTTATTGTTTTAAAAAGAAAAACATATTTTAAATTTTTTTTTTAACTTTTAGAAACTATTTTTTGATTTAAATATAAGGAATTTATAATTTTTTTAATTTTCCTTTAATTTTAAGATTTTATTGTTTTAAAAAGAAAAATATATAGTTTTAAATGTAAAATAATTTTTAGAAGCTTATTTTATTTCTTCTTTTTTTAATGCATATTTTTTTCCTTTCTTAATTTAATTATCTGAAAGATAATTGCAAGAGTTGCACTATCAGGCTGCGACTACTAAGACTAAGGTTGAAACTAGAACTATTGTTATCATTATGTATTAAAAAGAAGAATAGCGCTGCGACCTACATACTTATACATATGTATATGTTCTATTGATCGAGCCCTATAAAAATTTACTTCAACCTTAAGCTATTTACGAAAGTCAGCACTTTATAGGCTGTCTTCTTCCAGATAATTAACGTAGACGAAAACTCGAAGTGTAAGAATCTGCAGTATCTTAATTCTCAGCCCTTGAGCGTCTCCTTGAGAGTTCTGAGGTACGAAGTTACCCTAATATGGTTCCGGGACATAGGGGCATCTACGGAAATGAGGCAGCGGACGCACTATCAAGGAGCGGCTCCACACTGAACGTGTCCCACGCGGTGGACATGGGCATGACCCGAGCTCACAAGAGACAGCCGAACACTTGCTGTGCGAGTGTCCAGCCCCGCAAGGATGAGACTAAAGATACTCGGCAAACCATTCCTGCAGAATATTTTAGAGTGCTGCTGCCTCTATCTGTATGACGTACTGAAATTTGTTAAAGCTTCCAAATGACTGTAGGTGGCACGAGTTGTGAAATCAAAATGGCAAACTTGCTACTTGCTTGCCACCACTTAAACCAACCAATTATGCGACTGGATTAGTTACAAACCAGTTGGATTTACCAAAGAGTCTGGTAAGGAGTAAAAATTCATTACCCTTTTATCCCGATCAAAATCCATAAAAAATTGTGCAGAAAAAATTGCAAGTGTACTTTAGGAACAAAAAGTTGTTAGGTTAGTAAGGGTCTAGACTCTAGATCTTTGATCACATTAAAATCACTCATCATGTGTCGCTGAAGCGCTTATATTTACCACCATTTTCTTTTTAAATAAATCCCCAATTGCCTTTTCCACTTACTAATTTATTCACCCTTTCATTTAGGATGAAATAATTAGCAAGCCGCTTACGGATATATTCATTACTGATGTCTCAACGTTTATGATGCACACCCGCAAGAACAAAGAATTCGATGAGATATTGACTGTGCGACGCAAGGGACAGGAAGATGTTCCAATGCATGTTCGTGTCATACAAGTGGCGTGTATTGGCAGGTAATTTAATACGGAAGCAAACATACATACATAATTACATATGGCTTTGATCTTCGATGTTATTAAATGAAATTACTAAAGGCTATGAATATGAAAACAAATATCGTGAAAATTTATGAAACAAAACTTAAAATCAACATAACCAGAATAATTTTACTCTCTTTTAACACAGAACACCCACACATTTTGTCTTTAATCTCGATGTACCTGGATCACATGGTGACTTCGTCGCCACACTACCACAAGCCAGAGAAGCACCTCGCGGCTCGCAGCACTCCATACGCCGTGGCAGTGTCGATGTACGTTCGGTGGCATCCGATGGCCTGCGGCGTACCAGTCTGGCCAAGTTGACGTCATTACCGCTGGAGGCGCCCATTACAAAAGTAGGATTTATTACTAACACTAACATACGCAAAAAAAAAAATGTCAAATGTGTATTGCATTGCGTAGTAAAGCAATTGCGAGTAGTACTAGTAGTAGCTATACTAACTGAAGTAGTAAATTTGTTGTGCTGTCGTATTGACAATTCACTCGCTCATTCAGCACCGTACAAATATTGTTTTTAGTATGTATGTGTGTGTGTGTGTGTGCTTGGAAAAAGTGCAATGCTTTTTTGTCCGACTTGTTTTTTAAATTTGCACTTAAATAGTTTGTCTGGAAATAATGAAATTCGAATTAATACTAAGTGGCTAAAAATTTACTAATTGGCTTTAAATTACTAATACAAACAAACAAACACACACAGGCGCACACAAACAGACACAAATAGTTTCACACAAGGCATATTCAACAAGTAATTTTTAAGCAAAAAAACAAAACCGACTTCAATTCTCATATAAAGAAAAATATATATATATATATATATATATTTACATTTCATGATCCAATGATCGGATCTAAACCAGATCAGTATGAGACCACCGCTGAGATACCGCCTTTCCGATGCAAAATGAACGAAATCGGTTGACGCGGTCCAATGTTATGCGGTAACATACATAAAACAAAAACAAAAAAATATGCTGACGAAGTCGTTTAAAAAGTTATCGACAATCCTCTGTTTTGATCTCCGTCTAAAATGTCAGACATAAGTATATCAAAATATTTCTAGTCGTATTGGAAAATTTTCTTTGTTTAAATTTTTAACCGACTTCCAAAAAACGAGGAGGTTATCAGTTCGTCGGAATATTTTTTATTTTTATTTATTTTTTTTTTAGTTTTTTGAGTATGCAGTTTTGTAGCTCATTAAATTTTAGTATACTAAAGTGCAAGTTTTAACCGATTGCAAAATCGGCTTTAATTTTTTGATTTTCTTTGAAAACGGTTTTGCTCATTTTCTTCCATAAGAAAAAAGTGCAAAAAGCCGTGAGCATAAAAAATATTAAAAATCAATGCCATTTTGCAGTAGCTTAAAACTTGCACTTTATTATACCAAAATTTAATAAGCTAAAAAACGGCATGCTCAGAAAATTCGAAAAAAAAATTTTTAATTTTTAAATTCGTAATGTACTCATTTTACTCAACTTCGGTGAAAAAAAGAAAAATCATAACCCAAATTATTGTATAGTGCACCCCATAGTACTATACTTAAATGTCGCGCAATACTCAGAGCTACCATTGTGATTTTTTTAAATTTTTTGAGATAGCATATTTTCTATAATTTTCTTTTAATAATTCTTTTATCAATAAATTTGTATGTGAAAAATTTTCAAGAAAAAAAATTAAAAATATTTCTTTTCATAGAGAATTTTGATGTGTGTATGTGTGATTTTTTTTCAAATTTTTCTTGCCCCGTTCTCGAGATATTTGGAAAAGTATTAAGTCGATTTGTTTTTTTTTTCATATTTATTTATTATTTATGCATCAACCCTAAAAATTTGAAGCAAATCAAACACAAAGTGTGAACCCGTCCGTTTTGGTTATATGAGAATTGAAGTCGGTTTGGTTTTTTACTTAAAAATTACCTGTTTATTATTTTTTTTTAATGCTACGAAATGAGCTAAATTTTATAGTCCGTTCTAACTTTTTCACAGAAAATTTAGCAGTTTTGCTCTCTGCATACTACTTAGTAGCACCGTGCGACAGTAAATTTTACACACAAATAAATCGATATACTCGCGAAACTAGGGGCCATATAAAGGGAAATTGTGTTTTCAGTTTTTCTCTCTGGCGCACAGTGTTTCGACTATATGGAGGCAGGTGGCAAAAAGTAATGGTGAAAGTTGTTACAAAAAACCGGTTGAACTTAGAGAGGGACAAGTAGATGTCGTAAATACAAAATTTCACATCATTTACTTAGCCCGCCTCCCTACGAATGGTACATTTCCAAAGACCTACCAGAATCAGCGCGCTATCGACTAATCAATTTAGTTGCCTTTGGCGCTGAACTCATTTAAAAAAGTATTTATTTTTCAACTGTTATCAATTCTTTAAGAGTCCTGGAATGCTCGGGTGAAGGTATTTATCATTTATTTGGTATTATCTTTTTTTTATCAGAAAATTAACTTGCTAAGGATTATTAACAAAAAAAAAATAATCTTTCCAAGAAACCTGAGTTTTGTAATTAATTGTAAGCAAAAAAAGCTTATAATGAATGAATTTTCTTCACCCAACTTGACTGTTTATCGATATTTTCCACGCCCATGACTTTTCAGAACAATTTTTTTTTACATTTTTAAGCCCATTTCTGTCAGTGCTAGTAGGAAACTAGGTTGTGCACAAAATTTGAGCCAAATCGAAGCCCATCACCCTGTCTTACTAAATTATCTTTAAATCAAATAGGTGATAAAACTTAAATACGAAACCCACCGTGGGAAATTTCTGGGGCCGCCACTGATCATAGCTATCGTTTCAATGGTCGATGGTGGTCGTTCTAAAATTTAAAGAGTAGAATAGAAAAAATCCAAAAATATTTCCATACGATTTCACCAAAGAAGGAGGAAAGTTCAATTAAAGAGAAAATGCGGAGTTTTCACTAAATAAAATTCACACAGTTTTTCAGTCCAGTGGCTACACTGCGAAAAGTAATAGCTTTGTAACATGGCATTAAAAGTTCGTTACAAGAATAGGAGATAAAAGTCAGAAGGTATTTCATGAAATGCATAACTTTTAGTTATGCAAAAACCGTAATTCTTTAGAAAACTGAGCAGTTTTTTTAATGCGGAATCTAAGTAAATAGCGCACAAATTTTATTTTTAGAAAAAGATTTCAGTAGACTTACATACGTATCTATAACATTCATGCCTATTACGGTATCCGACGGATGCCATTCGCACGAATCTAATACTTCACTCTCGCTTGTTATGACAGTGAGAATCAGATTAGATCCGTGCGGATGGCATCCGTCGGATATCGTAAAAGGCATGATTATTAGCGCTCTTAAAAGTGCAACAGCCCAGTAATAAGCTCATGCACAGAAATAATTTCGCTTTTTTGAAATTTTGGTAAAATTAAATAAAATGAATTACAAATATAATGCCAGAAATTTTTATCAGTGCATATGTTTGTTGATATATCGGGCCCTAATCGCCAAAATATGTAAGCGAAATGGTTTTTAAAAATTTCTTTTTTTTAAGCAGAAATGCATCTAGTTAGGTACTCTGGGAGCATTTCTGCAACAAAAATATTTAACAATAAAAATTCGCTAACGCTTTTTTAACGATAAGGAAATATGCAACTAAAAGCAAATTTTTGATACTAAACTAATTAAAAATGTATTTGCCAAATGTTTATTTCTAATGCACTCTAAAACTTTGTCTTCTCTCTTTCTCTCTTTTTTACGTTTTGTGTGTTTATCTTGGTTCTTTGTTAAAACAAAAAAAAAAATATTAAATCATATTTCCCAACCAAAAAAAAACACCATTTCGATCTCGCTGCTCGCTCGATCGCTCGCCTGTGCATTCGTTCGTTCGTTTTGTTTTCGTTTTGGTTTCGTTTTTATTTTTCGTTTAATACTCTCACAACTGATCAACCAATGAACCAACCAAACAATCAATCAACCGTTCAACCAACCACCAACCAATTCCTTCGATGCAACTACGCTCGCTATTTATGTAGATAATCAATTTACTCTCCCAAGTACAGGAGAATTGTTCGCCGGACGAGGCACGGCTAATCGATAAGGTGATGGAATTCTTGAAGCGTGAAGGACTTTATAGTCCACAAATGAAGGAAATACGCACAGATGATCCAATAGCTACCGATCTGATAGGAGCGTTGCTGACGGTAAGTTTTACAAAAAAGTGTGAGGTTGCACAGCAAGGGTGTAACTACATAAATCACAACCAAATTCATTTCACTTAGGGTCCAAGCCTATATTCATCACGACGCAGCTCAAATGACTCCATCATACGTGTAGGCGGCCGTCAATCCACTTGCATGCCAGCCAAAATGAAGGTACATTCTACTTACATATATAAATACATATGTATTTATTTATAGAATTTTCTTAATTATAACTCCAATTCGCTCTCAACACAGGCCACACCACACATCATGGAACTACTTGAAGAATCTCTTAGTTGGGAATTTGATATTTTCAAACTTGAAGAAATCACCGAAAAGCGTCCGCTCCTCTATTTGGGCATGGAAATGTTCCGACGCTTTAATGTGTTCGCAACGCTCAATATCGATGAGAATGTGTGCAAGAGTTGGCTAGCAGTTATTGAGGCCAATTATCATGCAAATAATTCATATCACAATAGCACACATGCCGCCGATGTTATGCAGGTGATTATCACCGTGCGGCTAATGCAGCCAAATTCTGCAAGCACATCCACTCAAGCGAATATTGAACACTTCAATTCTGCCATCTACTTTCAGGCCACTGGCTGTTTTCTTACTCAGCTAGCTGCCAAGGACATGGGCATGGATCACACTGATGAGGCCATAGCGCTAATTGCTGCTGCAGCGCACGATGTCGATCATCCGGGTCGCTCTTCGGCGTTCCTTTGTAACTCGCGCAATACGCTAGCGCTGCTCTACAATGATCTGTGCGTCTTGGAATCGCATCACGCTTCAATTACCTTTAGGCTTACATTAAGTGCGTAGTGGATTGAAACAAAAATCAACCACTTCGAAGCAAACGAATAACTACAAAATTTTTCTTACATATTTTAGGTGATGACAAAGTCAACATTTTTAAGAATTTAGACTCTGAGAGCTACAAATCGGTGCGCAGCGTTGTGATTGACATGATTTTAGCTACGGAAATGACGCGGCATTTTGAGCATCTGGCCAAGTTTGTTAGCATTTTCGGCTCGGACGAGGAGCCCAAAGATGTTAGTTTGCTGTTGTTCGCTTAGTTGCTTTTAATTTTGTGTTATATGTTTCATATTGTATAAATTGTTTTTCTAGATCGTACAATCGGAGGAGGAGAGTTCCATTCTTATTCGCCGCATGATGATTAAGGTGGCGGATGTGAGTAATCCGTCGCGTCAACCTTCCTACTGCGTTGAATGGGCGCGGCGCATTGCCGAGGAGTATTTTACCCAAACCGATGAGGAGAAGGCGAAGGCTTTGCCGATTGTTATGCCAATGTTCGATAGGAATACGTGTAGCATACCCAAGAGTCAGATCGGTTTCATTGAATACATTATACAGGACATGATGCACGCGTGGGATAGTAAGTACCTAATATTTGTTTAACTTCAAAACCTTAAGCTCAACTACCACCTACCACCTCTACCTATGCTTTAAAACAGCAATGTGATGTCAATCTTGGTTAGGCAATGGCAAAACAAAACTCAAAAAGCCATCTGCCTTTAGGACGAATTACACTCAAAGTAATCAAGAACATTTAGTTTCCGTTATTCGCCGCGCTTTTGTAATGACCATCCTCCAAAAGAAATTCTACCATAAAAAAAGCTCAAGATACTACATAAAGCTCAAGGTCCCTCTAACGTTTTTTTACAAACAAGAATATGTAAAGCAATTTTTACTAAAATCGACGCATTCGCTTTCCTCACTATTGTATCCCCTTTAAGGGGGAACCTTTCGGAAAAGCAATCTTAATTGATATGCGCCCGCTAGAGCTTCATTTTCCCCCCGGCCACTCGACTGATCCCTTAGAAAACAGCAGATCACCTCGGGTACCTCCCTGTGGTTTTCTGCTGATTTTCGCAGTAAATTCCAATACGAACCCATCAGATTTCTGTGGTATGATCTTTCCGGACAGAATTGTAAAAATAAAAACTAAACAGAACTGCTCAGAGAAGAAATGGGCTCTTAACATTGTCCAATTCCAGACACGGGATATCAGAGCTTGTATGGTTCATGTTTCTGACCGCCACAAAAAAGATATATAGAATTTAGACGTAAAGTGAGCATCACCACTAAGCACTTCAAACGCTCAAATAACTCATGACTCTAAGAGAACTGTCTTGGTAGCAGTGGATTTATTAAAAGCCGATCGATACCGTTTGTTACTCCACACTACTAGAAGATATTGAAACATCCTTCATTTTACCGGAAATAAAACGATGAGCGGCAAATAACCTGAATAGTCGATAGTCTTCAGAAGTTTTAGAGGTCAAACTTCGAACAAACATTTGCACAGGGTAGCGGCCTCTCCCTACTACTGTTTAATTTCTACATCTAGAAGCTTTCTCAGCCACTGGAGGAGTTTTACTGATCCCCTAAGTGAGGTTGGTGAGGCAGTTGGTTCAAAATAACCAACTTACTTAGACCCTGCAGGTCCATTATGATCACTGATCCCCTACACTCGATTTCTCGCGTCTTCACAACACAGAAACTTACGCTTTACCCTACCAATTGAACGACTCGACCGAATGAGGTCAAGCTGTAATTAGGTATTCACGTCGACTACACTCCAATACCAACGATTACAAGCCCGAAAATTTAAGGTAACAATAAAGTACCAAATCACTGACCAACAGGACCAGGACTTGGAGCAAAGTCATATAAACGTTGTTGGCAATATATGTAAAATGCAATTTGACGGACGATTCGAAGTTACGCTTTGCCAGTTGGGTCATCGGTGACTTCTAGTTCGTACTCCAGACTGTATCGGGATGTCTTCTTACCTCAATGCCCCCGTCAGGGAAAATAATTTTATGATCAGCAAGCAATTTTTTCACGGCTACTGTAGGGACCTCGATACTGTAGTAGATTAAACTCCTATGCATGCAAACCCCGACATATCCATGTATGTTCAGCTTGTGAACGTATCATTTTATTCCATTGGTTGATACTTCATCGTCGCTGTTTCAACTCTCTGAGAGGCAATCCTTCCGGCGTTGTCTTCTCATTACCGAAGGCCTTCTAAGGTTTGCCTAGTTGTCACCGACATTAAGGAGTTCCGTGGGAAGCCAGTTGGCTCAAGCCCGAGGCAGTATCGCCAAAGTAGTATTCTAGAAGGACCAGGCAAAGAATTCGATTATATAATTTGATTTCAAAATACGATATCTGATGTAATTTCCTTCTACTTAAAAAGAGGCACGGTAAACATGGTTTTCATTGGCATCCACACCATTGGGTCCAAAATGGATAAGATAAGGTAATTTCTTTACAAATAGTCAAGTAGCGCTTTTGTCGCTGGCCTCATCGACGAAAAACTCAAAAAAAAAAGTCGGTTGTATCTACCAACCTTTGATACTCTTCAAATGGTGAAATCTTTTGTATAATAGGCATTCTTTTTCAGCGCTCTACAATATTGATAGCCATGCGATTAGCGGAGTAATGCTCTCTAGTGATGTGCTGAATTGTCGTTACCCAAAACTTAAAAAAGATTTCGGTACCCAATACTTCCTTTTCGGTACCCTATACCGATTCGTTACATTAAACCTTCGCCATTATATGCATTTCAAGTTTAGAAAAAACTTTCATTACGAATTTATATGATATCGGGGTATCGGTTGAACTTATCGCAACAGAGAAATATTATTTTTTCTGTCTAAACCTTAGTCGATCCAGGATTCAAGAAAATTGCTTTGACGTATGAAGAAGCTTTTCAGGGGAGAGATTCTGTAACCAGTTAACGACAAGTTTCGAATCGATATCGCACTTGTTAACGTAACAAGTAATTTTTAGCAAAAAAACCCGACTTCAAATCTCATATAAAAAAAAAAATATATATATATATATCTCATGATCCACTCATCGGATCTTAACCAGATTAGTATGGGACCACCTGACGTGGTCCAAAGTTATGCGCTAACATACATAAAAAATAAAATAAAAAAATATTCCGACGAACTGATAACCTCCTCCTTTTTTGGAAGTCGGTTAAAAATAATATTTCTTAGCATACGTCAACAAAACCACCTCCACACACTAACGTTTCGAATCATCAATGCATTGCAACGGTAACAATGCATGGTATGAACAGCCAGTGTACACCTTGTCCTTATATAATATTCACAATTATTTTCATGAATTTTTTTTCATTAATTACACAGGTCAACAATGTTGTGTTGCCTAAAATATTACAGCCGATTTATATAGGAATTTCTCCGTAGAATCCGAATCTGCTTTTTTTATTTTTAGTACTAAACGGCAATCTTAAGGCTTTCCACACACACACCAGCCAGATATATTGCATCAATTTGTTTTACAGAGGCTCAAAAATGTCCAAAAACGCGTTTTTCGACTCCTTTAAACCTAAGTTGCTCGAAAACTAGAGACAGTCTTATATCATTAGGGTCAGATTCGAATTCTACGGAAAAAATTCTATATGAATCGTCTGTAATATTTTAGGCAATACCACATTGTTGACCTGTGTAATTAATGAAAAAAAAAATAACATTGCTTAAATTTTATTGGCCCGTGTAATTAATGAAAAAAAAATTTCATGAAAATAATTGTGAGTATTATATTAGAACAAGGTGTGCACTTACATTTGACACTGACTGTAACTATGTTTTTATCATGCTTGAAAGTTTATTTATCAACGCGCTTTTCTCGACTCTTGAAAGTCGCACTTTGTCCTACTCAAATTTAATGGGCTATATATAGAACTGCATAACTAAAATTTTTCTAAAAATTCTGAATAAAAAGTTTAAAATTTTTGACGGAAATTGCTAAAATTTGTTGAATTTTTATAATTTTTATACAAAGTTTATATGTCTTAGGCTTTTGTTAAAAAAATATTAAACATTAAATAAAGAAAAGGAAAATAGCCAAAACTGGTCAAAATGGCACTTAACTTAACTTAATATATGTATATGTACATATTTTTTATTAAAAAAAATCGATGTAGTTTATCTGTCATTCTGTATCAAAAACTAAATTTTGGAAAAAAAGTGGACTTCGCACCTTTTCACCTTTAAGTAGCGATATGTAGATAATCATTATTTCTGGCAATATTTCATTCTTTCTATTCTTTCATTCTAGGTTTCATCGACATGCCTCAATTGGTCACCTACATGCAAATCAATTATTCGCAATGGAAAAAATTCGAGGAACAAGGCGTGCTCACGCTAGCGGATGTCAAAAGCAAGCAACATAGTTTGAGTGTGAAGAAGAGTGCCAAATAGCATTTGGCATTCAAGAGGTTGTTCTCAGGACTATTAAAGCCACAGCCGGTCCAGCCTCCATGTGCGATGACAATTGGTGAAAATGAAATGGAATATTGCTTGCAAAAATAAAATGGTGAAAACAAAGGAAAGAAAAGCAAGACGAGGATAGGAGATGATGGAATATGTATAATGAACACAATTCAAAAAGCTTACATAAAATTTGAGAAGAACGTAGGAGTACAGCAAAAGAGGCAAAGAGCGTAATTGTGTTGTGAGAAATGTGCATAAGTTTTGAATTTATGTAAAAAAAAAAGTAATTTTTGTGCATAAATCGATTCTCGAATCGAATCTACCAAGAAGCTAAGAATTGGCGGCAAAGGGCAGACAGTTTCATAGAATACAGAAGAAGCCTTAGCCATTGAAATCTTCTAATTGTACTCACCGCCCTTTGCGATGCTATGTAGAAGCCTATACATGCAAAGTTATCTTACCACGGACGGACGGACAATAAGGGCGTTCACTTTGTACAAAACGGGGGGAAATATAGTTTTACTTTAATGACGAACTTAAAAGGAATTTCAAAAAATTCGCATGCTTTTTTATTAGTCTGACAACGCCCCCAATTGTACGCTTTAGTGAATACCACCTGCCGTCAGTTTCCGTGTGGAAAGGAAAGAGACAAAAAAAAAATCTAAAAGATTAGGTACAATAAGTAACCCGATTCGACTGCGCCAGTACCGGCTGTACAGCACACAAACATATTAAAAATGTTCATTTTTCTTGGGCTGGACTCAAAATTAATAACTTCACAAAAGAAACTAAAAAAATATATCACAAAATTACCAAATGAAAAGAACAAAAAAATAAATTTACAAAAATTAACAAAAATATGTTTTCTACACTTTTAAAAGGCAAACAAATATTTATTTTAAGACGAGATCTTAAACTTTATAAAAGTTATTGTTATAAAAAATATTTATATTGAAATAAATGTTGTTGGACGTTATGAAATGCAAAAACTTTTTACGAAAAAAAACAATGTGCAGACTTTTTAGTAAATTTTTACAGGACAATCTCTATGAGGCAAACACAACACAAAACAATTAATGTTTTTCAGATGTAATTAATGCTCCAGATGCATACATACAAACATACCCCTTTTTAGGCTTTTTAAAAAATTTCATAAGAATTTTAGTAAATTTTACAAACATAAATTTTAACTATTTCCTACAACTAGTTAAAACATTAAAGTAAATTATTTGCTGCTAATAGTTGTCTATACAAACATTTTTCTGAAATACTTTGTTTAACCCAAATGACTGATCTAACTAACTACAAAATAAAACAAAAAACAAACAGAACAAAGCTGCAAAAAAAGCAACTGGTACTGAATTTTTCGGATTATAATTTTAAAAATTAACAAACTATCTTACTTAACAGTCTATCAGTGTTGCAGAAAGTTCTAAAATAATAAATAAATTTAAAAAGTAGTTATTAACAATATTAAAAAAAAAATAATCAACAAAATTCACAAATTAGTTAAAGGCGACATTAGATCAAATATTAATATTTAAGATATGAACATTTTCTTATTGACGTATAAAACTGACCACTAACAACTACTTTTGTATGTTATATTAACTGTAAACAAAAAAAAAAAACTATAAAAAATTGTACGAATTTTGACCATTGTTTGCTTGTGCCAAAATTTCATTTCAACAAAGAGATTCAAAATTTCGTAACTGACATCTGGCGAGCCACACTGCGCAAAATTTTCTTTTCCCTCATTGTTAACTTGCGCGCTCGTTTAAGTCACTTAAATTTTGAATTGGTGTTTAATAGCTTAGCTTTTTTAAAAGTCTTCGAAACAAAGTATAAACTTTCTTTTAATTAAGTAACTAAAGAATCACAAATTTAACTTTTAACAAAAGTAAAACTTATTCCATAAGTTCGATTGTCCTAAAAATATATATAAAAAAAGTTTCAAATTTAAAAACATTTACCTAAAAGCGAAAATCAAAACATAACAAAAAACAAAATATTTGTTTGCTCCTTGCAGGTTAAGGATTAAAAAAGAAAATGTACTTTAAGCTTTAGTGAATTTTATGATAAGAAATAAATAAAACTAAGAAAAAGATTTTTTTTTTTGTTTTCTCTATCATGTTTGGTTTGCTCTATCATGTTTGGTTTATTGTTTTATTGTTTCTTATATTTTTTTTTATAAAATTGTATATACTTTTCCCTCGATTTAATTCACTTTTCCATCTTCCTTGTTTTTTGCTTTATTAAACTTAATTATATACATTCCGATTTTGTTGAATGGGCACAGTTTTTTCTTCAAGATCCGAAGCCGGTTCTGTAAGATTAAATATTTTATGTAAAAACCATAAAAGAAATATCGGAAGTCGTTTCAATACAAGATTCTGAATTGACTGACCTAGCGGAACGAAATACTAAAAATGAAATACTAAAAATTTAATTCTTCAAATCCACACTAGGACCTAATATAATTTCTTAGGAATATTTAGTAAGAAGGCACGTCCACTTTGAGATATGAATGCTGTTCTAATCTAATTTTTTTTCTAAATATGTAGTAGTGAAAATTGTGACGCTCAATCGTGTCATCTTAAAAATTATTAACTCTTCATTTAAGTATAAGTAAAATCCAATTTTATTAGATTGCGGAAAAAATTTCTGCCAAATTTTACCAAAAATCTATTTACACATTGCGTAACATATAAATTACGCATACGCAGACAAATATAGCCAACTTTTGAATTAAAGAGGGGTCTAATTTAAATCTACGAACTTTTTTTAAAGAAAGCCGTCATATTTGAGCCGTCATTTCAACTTTTTGAAATACGCTTTCAACTACCAAAAACGACCGAGTAACAAGTTTCGAGCTAATTCAATAAATTTAAAAAAAAATTATTCCGCTATATTGGATCCACCATTTTGAATTATTTAAAAATGCATAATCAGCGACCCCAAATCCCCCCGAGTAAGAAGTTTCGAGTGAATTCAATCAATTAAAAAAAGGAAAAATCCGCCATTTAGGCTTTTTGAAACCTGACTGAAGATTTGTAATCAGTGGCCTCGTAAACTAGAAGATACAAAGTAGTGTACAAAATCCATCACCCGAATCTGTTAAATTAGTTTTTCCCGCTAGATTCTCTATTCAGATCAAAGTGCGACACAAATAATTTTTAGGCAAAAAAAAGCAATTCAATTCTTTTACAAAAAATTTAGGAGTGCCTACAGTTTATTTCTTTATCTAAACTTAATTAGTATGGGACCAATCCTTTCCGATAAAAAGACAATCATCCAAAATGGTCAACGTGGTGCAAAGTTGTCCGGTATATAAAAAATAAAAATAAATATTCCGACAAATTAATAACTTTCCCATTTTGAAGTCTGAGCAAATCGTCTTATGCCACAAATTCACTCATTCGTTAATTTTCGATCTGTTCGTACGGGAATCGTAGATAGAAAATTGAATCAGAGGCCCTTCTGGTCCTGTATGTCTCAATTATAGTAGGTCAATTTGAAAAGTCAGTTACTTGTTGAATTTCCCGCGCAGTAACTTTAAATGCAACACTGCGGCAGTCAACTGCAATCCATCAATAGACCACTGTAAAATTTTGAGCAGGGTGCGCCATTTAGTTTATGTTTGATAGCCATTGAAAGCCGACAGCCTCGTTAATTTTAGCGAGTATCGTGTCGAGTGCAAGTCATTTTTCGGCGGCGAGACCTATAGAAAATTGCATGGCACTGCCTAAAATTTTCACTCGACTCGGGTATTAAAACAGAAAAACTTGGAAGCACCGGTTAGTTTTCGACGATTTTCGTCATTTGCTTATTTCAGCACGACAGTAGGCAATACCAATGTTGTCGAGTGGTACACTTCAGTCTAATTTACAACTTACGCAATGAGGCTGATTATTATTTTTTGCTTAAAAGTGCATTACCGACACCAAGGAAAAGCTTTATAAATACTATGGGGACTCTGCACCATCAACTTAATTGGTTAAAAAGTGGTGTACTGACTCCGAACGATCAGGTCGTGAGGCCAGAAATCGTCTGCAAAGTGCGCGATATGACTGAGGCTGTAGGCCTCTCAGCTGAGGGGTAGCGTCACATTTTGCATAAAAAAACTATCCGCCAGATGTGTGCAGCGATTTCTTGAGCCGAAATCTGAACGTATTTTTGCGCCCTTCCGTAACCGTGGAGGAAACATGGATGTACGCGGTGGCATTCACATCGATTACCTTGAAAAGGCCAAGACATTAAGAGGTCAACACTGAAGTTAAAAGTTATATGAAATATTAATTTATGGGTATCAAACAAAATTCTGGTAAGAAATATTTAATTTGAAAATTTAGAATATTTTCTAGGTATTTACCCAGGGTTGCCACCTGTTTAAAAAGCCTTATTAAAATTATTTAACAAGTTAAATTAATTATTTCAATATGGGTATCAATCGAAATAAATTTGAGTGGCTTTATTTTCGGGCTATATTTAAGAGGATTGCCATATGTCTGAAAAATAAAATTCAACTTGAATTGGTAATTGAAATATGTATCACAATTCGGGTGACAGACGAAAGGGTTTGAAAATATGTTTAATAGGGTTGCCAACTGCTTAAAACCCGTATTTTATTAAATGTATCATTTAATGTAATTATATGATATCTTAAAATATGGTTGTCAAACGAAAGAGTATTAAGAAATCTTTAGTTTAAATATTTGTGGAGTATTTTTTGGGTGTTTGAATAGGGTTGAAAACCGGTTTAAAATGTTAAATTTAATCTTTTTAATAATTTAAATGAATTACCAAAAGATGTGTATCAAGCGAAACACCCTAAATACGGCCAAATTTACGAGAGTTGCCACATATCTCATAAATCAAACTCAACTTAATTCATCAGCTAATTGAAATATAAATCCCAATGGCAGACGAAAAAGATCTAAGAAGATTCCAGTTTGAAAATAATTTTGAAAAGAGTGGCAACACTTATTTGAAAGGCGGAATTTAATTAAATATGAATATCAAATGGAGGAGTACGCAACTGTGTACTGTTAAATAAGTAATACGTGAAGGCAGTTCAGAAAAAGAGATGTCAATTTAATGAACCTGGCCGGTAGATTTGAATTAGCGTTTTCTTTTATAAAAACCGAACCATGCCAAACTTTGCTCCACTCAGAAACGGCTGGACGGATCTAGATGAAATTTGCAATATTTTTGTAGGATTTTGAAGAGTGTTGCCACCTGTTTGAAACGTTAAATTCAATTCAATTCACTTGTAATATACCAATACACCAATCGTTTATAATCTGTGCAAACTGACGCCTATTGGTAATGCCGGCTTCACCTAGCCTTTCCACGTTTTGGGTGTTAAACTACGTGTCAGTTTGTGGCGGACCCACGGGAGGGGGTGTTAAAACAACCCAAAACCCCTCGCTGGATCTATCACTGACGGAAGGCAGACGACTTTACTCCTCAATTTCCTACTCAGTCCAAAATAGCACTTTTTGGCAAGAATGATTCTACTTTGGATTTCAAGGCCGACATTATTATCGGTGTTAATGCTGGTATCCAAGTAAACGACGTTCTCCACATTCTCGAAATTATAGCTGTCAGCACTGACGTGGGTTCCAAGCCGAGAATGCGCGGACTGTTTGATTGATGATAGGAGATACTTCGTCTTGTCCTCGTTTACCACCAGACCCATTCGCTTTGCTTCCTAATCCAACTGGGAGAGGCAGAACAGACTTCATGGTTTTTGTAGCCGATTATGTCGATGTCATCGGCATACGCGAACAATTGCACGCTCTTGTAGTAAATTGTTCAAGGGATGCCCCTTTCTCAAACCCCGTTTGGCGGCGAACGGCGAGGTCATTCCAAATTCTGACGGTGGGCTTCAGCCTTTCACACAATACGCTTGATAAGAGCTTTTGCTAAAATTAATTTATCGTAATCATCTGTACAATTAATGATAAAACTTTTTTCGTCGTTAACCGTCGGTTGTGATAACGATTAATTAATTTTAAACAATTTCAGCATAAAATAATTAATCATCACACCTACTCAACCAAATAAAGGGTTGATGTTTAAAATTCAATTTTTATTTCATGATTACAAAATTAATCGATTAGTGCCCACACTGCCTCCGAAAGGTGACCGCTATTCAGCTTGAACCCAGGCCCTGCGAAATGGTGGCAAACACTACTAACCACTACACCACAGCGGGCAGCGTCAAGTAACATTAGTTTTGTGAAATGTAAGGTCTTATCTAGTGACCCTCGTATACTCGACTGTATTTTTTTAAGATTTAAATAAAGCAGGTTATAGTTCATAGATATTTCTGAAAACTCTTTTTGTAATAACATAAACTAAATATTAAAAAGATTTTTCATACATTTTTATTTTCTTAATTTGTTTGCTGTGTTCTTTTCATCTGTACAACTCTGTTATATTCTGCTCGATTAAGATTTTACTTTATTGCATAGTAAGTACATTTTGTTCGGCGTTATCAGCGAACCAAGTGAATAATTTTTGAAATGAATTTTTCGCTTAACATTTCAATAGTATCTATTTATACATATATCATCTCAAATCCACCGCCATAAAATTTCTTGGCATCTTTGGAAGAGCTTTGAAAGCATTTTCTACGTAAAATTCAAATTTTGACAGCATGGAGCTTGAACTCTCAGCGTAAAACTCTTTTTACGTCTAACATACGTGCATATGTATGAAATTAAAGAAATGTATGTTTATAAGAACATATCCTTTTTCTATCGGTGTATTATTATGTATTATTGTACAATAAAAATACTTTTAATACTAAATGACCTAAACTACTGACTATGCTGGTCATGGTACTCGAAACTACTTTAATGTATAAAATTATTACAAATTTTGGCATATTGCTCTTTAATATTAAAGCCATACATACATACATACATATATATGTACATACATATATATTATACATATTTGTGAATAAACAATTATAATTATTAACATGGCAGAGTTCTTGAAGTGTACTTCAAATCTGCCTACAAAATGTTACATTGAATGTAAATTGAAGATTATATTTATGTATGTGTACTAAATAAATGTTACTAAATATATACATACAAATCTACACAATAAAAAATGTTTAAAAGAAAATCAGAAATTCTAAAAGCGCTATGGTTTAAAATTCTGTATATTCGTAATCTACCTGTAGTACAATCCCAATTATAACGAGTTCTTTTTTCAGAGGTGAAAGTGAACTTATTCTTTTTGACATTTATGTTTACCACCGGAACAACGTTTA